TGTCAGTCACTCGTCATCCGCCCTGTCATGTCTGATCTCCTGGTTGATGACAGATGGATACGGTCCAGGCAGTAAAGGAACAGTGCGTAAATACACAAACGTCCCATTTCTGACCATACGATCGCCTTCATTTATCATTAAATCACAACGCAGGTTCTGATCTAACGATAAATCAAGACGACTTACTGTGATTACTGCGAGGTTACTGCGCAAAAACACGCCGGTGCAATTTCCATCTATTAATCAACAAAATGAAAACCCCAACACTCCACGTCTGACCACAAACACGGTCAGACTGAGCCGCCGCGTCACCTCACCTCTCACACACCCGCACCGTCCAGGCCGCGATGATCCACAAGGAGATGCTGAAGACCAGCAGCACCGTCCCGGGGCAGATGGTCATGAGGGTTTTCATGACGAAGCGTGTGTTGAAATGCACCTGAAACACACACACACACACAGATAGAAAAGACCTGAATTAGTTGGAGCAGACAGTTACAGTGACAGTGACTGTTACAGTGACTTACAGTGACTGTTACAGTCAGTGTAACGATCACTGTTACAGTAACAGTTACAGTAACTGTTACACTGACTGTTACACAGTGACTGTTACAGTGACTGTTACAGTGACAGTTACAGTGACTTACAGCAACTGTTACAGTGACTGTTACAGTGATAGTGACAGTTACTGTTACAGTGACTCTTACAGTGACTATTACAGTGATAGTGACTGTTACAGTGACTGTTACAGTGACTGTTACAGTGACACTGACAGTAACAGTTACAGTGACTGTTACACTGACTGTTACAGTGATACTGACTGTTACAGTGACTGTAACTGTTACAGTCAGTGTAACGATCACTGTTACAGTAACAGTTACTGTAACTGTTACAGTAACTGTTACACTGACTGTTACACAGTGACTGTTGCAGTAACTGTTACACTGACTGTTACATAGTGACTGTTACAGTAACTGTTACACTGAGATTACTGCGAGGTTACTGAAAACCCCAACACTCCACGTCTGAC